TTCCCATTCTTGCCATACCAAATTTTGAATTCGTATCAAAGCCTCACCAGGCGTAAGTTGAACATCAATATTAAGACCTCTGTTAACGGCCGCTTTAGCTGCAACATCAGCCCTCTCATTCCATTCAACACCTACATGACTCGGAACCCACAAAATCTGAACAGAACGCAAATTAGACCTGAAAATATCATTATGCACTTCAGCAACTAAATACGAATCAGTTGTATCACTATCAAGAGCATCAATAGCAGCCATACTATCAGTAAAAATAGCACCCTTTTCAACATTCAATTTTTCAAATATCCAAATCGCTTTTTTGATCCCAACCAACTCACCAAATGTAGAAGAAAATTTTTCTGAAAATCTAAAAAGATAAGAAGTCATTTCACAAACATCATGAACCGCTACACCAACCGCATCATCCACTACTGAAGCATCAGTTGCTAGTAAATAATATCCCTCATCTTGCAATCTATATCTTTCCTCCATGTAAAAAGCCCGAATTTTTTCAACCGAAACATTTTTTTTAGAAACATCAAATTTAGACCTTTTCAAAACCAGACCTAAATGCCTTTCAAACCGCGTACTAAAATTAATTCTCTCAAAAATAACTTTAAATTTGGAAAAAACATGTCCATAACTAGACCCCTTAACCAAACCATTACATAAATCTTCTCTTAATTCACAATTAACCATCCATTGTCTACTTACGCATATTTACAATAACACATGGTTGCAAACTGACACATAACATGTGTTGCCATATTGTACAAAACAATACATACAAAGAAGGCAATGATTAAAAAGGAATACAGGGGAAATCAATACAAAAGAAAATGTTCAGCTCCTTTTCTTCGCAAAACAGAAAGGAGAATTCTATTGCCTGAGGGTTATAATCCCTAAGTGCGGCCGAAGGCCGCCTACGCAGAAAGCTGTTCTCTGCAAAAGGTGTTCAGCTCCTTTTCTTCGCAAAACAGAAAGGAGAATTCTACTGCCTGAGGGTTATAATCCCTAAGTGCGGCCGAAGGCCGCCTACGAAGAAAGGTGTTCTCTGCAAAATGTGTTCAGCCCCCCCTTCTTCGGCAACACAGAAATAATAATTCTACTAAGTAAAAATTTCGAATTAAAAATCCTCTTTTATTATTCAAAATTCCAGTCTGGTGGCACTAAGTTGTATGTTATTTTGCTATCTTAATCATCGTTTATATGAAAACTTTAACAATAAATTATATAAGAACTATAGGGTTGCTAGAAAAAAGGGGGGTAGTTTTGAAATCAGGGGGTCCTATTCTACCGCCCCTCATCCCCCCTTTTTCTAGAATTTGCCGTCCGTCTACTAAAATTTTCCCGTTGCGATTCTTCCTCATAAAATTTGCTTAATTTCATTTCTACTTCCCGTTTTGTTTAAAAGGAGTTCACATGAGGCGATTTTCCAGGCAAATCTAGAGGCGATTAGTTGCATCAAAAGTTGGCTGCCCCCCCAACTTCATTCAGTGATTTGGGGAAATGTTTAGATATTTGTACAACGATTTTGGCATGCGGGCGAAGGGGGTATGGGCGTGGCTCCCAAACCCAAACCCGTTTGCCGTACCCATGATTAGTTGAAAGGTCGTTCACACCAGACGATTGTTGCGTTCAACTAAAAGTTGCCTGGTAAATCGCCTCATGTAAACATCGTATAAATAGGTTTGTTCGTCGAGCAAAAAGTTTGTACGAATATGTACGAATTATCATGATTTTTGTCCAAATCGCGTTCGTGCAGACCAAAAAATTATCCCTCACTCAAAAACTGAGAGCGCAAAATTTAGTTAACAAAATTGTATTCGCAATCGGAATGCAATTGTAACCAGAGTCGATTTAAGAAACCCGACAGCTTGTACGATAAAGAAATTGAAATGCATGTTAAAGGAAGTCAGAACAGCAGGAAATATACATGCATATCCTGTTTTTGTCCATCTGAAAGAATTTTAAAAATTCTATAAAAACTTATTATGTTTGAAATGCAACCGTGGACATCAGCTGGCAGGGAAACTTGCAAATTCCTGCAAATTTTCGTTCGTGCAGATATTTTCAAGTTTCTCAAGATGAGAGGGAATTTGAAAGAATTTTTTCTTACTCTCTGATATTTTGAGTGTTGGATAATTCTTGCTCATGATCAAGGTGTATTAAACAAGGTGTGGTTGACAACTCAGGTAGGCTCTCTTTTAAGGTACTATTATGCCAAAAAATATAAACAAGGGATTCGAAATTCATACAAACCGTTTTTAATTCGCACAAAAGCTTATACTTCTATTTCACACCACAGCTACACTATTTCCAAGTAAATTTGCAAAGAAGCAACACGGTGCCACTGCTAAGGGAGCGGTACGAGAGAGACAACTGTCAGTTTACCGAACCTTGTATTATTGAATCAGGATTCTTGCTGGATTTTCGACGAACAAACGTAGTGGCAGGCCTAACCTCATTTTTGCCATATCTGGTATCAGTGAAGGCAATCAGCTGTTACGAAAGAAAAGATAAAAGTGAGGAACCAAATAAGAAATTAACTTTAATTTTTTCAACTTACACGAATTAAAAAAAAAGCAAAATGAATAAGATTTGTGCCAGTTTTATCTCTGTGCTACGTTCCTCCAGCTCGGAAAAGTTTTACACATCGTCAGTAATTCTTGGACGGAGACTTTCATTTAAAAGTGACTTGTCGCTTGAAAAGTTGTACCCCAACAGTCGCCTCAAGCTCT